CCTCCCCACCAGGCGGGCTCCGGCTGGGGACGGCACGGCCTGCAGCAACGCGACTGCCACCAGAATCCTGTCGCAGGCATTACCGCCGCTAACCGTTCTCTTTCACACCGCTTTTAAACTTTACTCTCAGAAGAGGGAGCAGCCCTGCTGAAAGGGCAGCCGGCTGCTTTGCCATCCACCTGCGAGAGGGCTGAACGCGGCCGTCCCTGCTTCCCTATCCCTAACGGGATTCATTTTGTTTAAACCCTAAGAGTTTTGATGAGAAATACGTATGATATATAAGATGGCATTAGTTATAGGAAAACCGCATTCCACTTTTGCCTCTTCTCTGTGGTTTTGTAAAAAGGCTTTCCAACACCAGCGTTGAACTGTTCCCTATCCATGGTAAAAAAGTTAGAAAGTGCATATGTACACAAGTGGATTTTTTAAGATAAAAGCTTGTCGATACGACAATAAAGATGACATCGTGTCTGCCATTTCCAGCAATGTGGGCCGAGATGGTTTCACACCGGGGCCTGAAGTGGCTGAACCCTGCTGCTAATTGATTAATGTCTGCTGCCATTGTCGGCAGCACCCTGCCCATTCAAAGACTATGTCTTTCTTTGACCTAAATAAATGGTTCAACGCGCTAATCCCAACAAAAGGGTTGCTTATGGCCCTAAACCCATTTATGGTGCTCAACTTCATGAATTACCTATTGATTAGTCCTTTTAGTATATTGTTGGCTTTAAGATGAACAAAGCTGAGCTTGGGGCAGCGGGAGTTAATTCACAAGCCAGGTCACACACTCATAAGGTAGGAGTATGACTTGGTCTGATGGGTGCCTGAACTGGAAACCGAACATCCAATGCTGCCTGTCGTCGTGACTCTTCTGTAATATATGGCTTGAAAGTGTTATTTGCTGCCTGCAAACAAGAGTTATTTATTATTCTTTTCTTTTTAGGGCATAGGGTTTGAGTTACTTGCAGAAGGTTTGGTATCACTATGTGTCTCTAGAATGGAACTTTGCTCTCAGTGTGACTTCAGTGACACGTGTAATTGTAAATGTCATTTGCACACCAACGTGAGAGACTCGTACGTGTTACTAGAGTTTGTGGATTAGAGAGCCAGGACATTTGCCAGGAAAAAGGGAAACACGGGTCATGCACGCTGCAGTGTTCTCTGGCTGCGGATCTGATGCAGCCTCCGGCTTCCCTCTCCGCAGCGTGTCGGAGGTTGGGCTGAGCCGCCTTTTGTACCAGCCGGTGCAGTTCTGCTGCCAGGGTACGCGTCTCGGGAATACAGCATCTCCTTATCCCTGGGCAGCTGAGAAGTAGGAGGGGGAAGCACCCCCTGTTTTGAGGTGCAGCTACAGCTCACCTCTATGAATTTGCTTCTTTCTGATTCTTCTTTCAAAAATGTAGTTTTTAGGATTGTTTGAGCAAATGTTGATGACGTTTATATAGATTCATAAAAAGTTTTGTCTCTCTCCTAAGGTTTTCTAACATAACTTTGAAATGTGCAGTGTTACAAAGTAAACAGAAATAATACAAAAAAATGCCCAAACACAGTCATTGAAGTCTGGCTATTGAAAGATACTTAGCTGCCTTCAAGTATTTCGTATCCTAGTCAATCAGTGATAGTCCATTTTTCTTCAGCATTCCCCGCCCCCCCAGCCGTGGAAGAAATGGAAAGTATTTGTTCCCTGAAAATCTTAATAGTTTCTTGAGAACCTCTTGAGTGCTGTACAACGACTCCCTTTTTAAGGGGAGGAAATTTTTGGATGGTTACCTGCTAAAGTTAAGCTCATGTAGCTTTGACACTGTTAGTGAATAACAACAGTAGTTTTAAAATGTTGTTGTGCTTATTTTATGGAAATAAGAGCAGATAAAATCTAATCATATATTAATAGTTTTTAGAATGTTTACACTTAAAATACTTGCTAAACGTTACGTTTGTTTTGGTTTTTTTTAATTATAGCGTATACAAACTGGTATCTTAAAAGCATTTAATAATCCAACTACTAAGACAGCAGATGAAGAAACTAGAAGAAAAGTCAAAGGTATGCAACTCTTTATGGAATACTTTTAAAAATGCACAAGTTTTTAAATACCATTTTCTTCAAAACTGACTATTGCAAACAGCAATCCTGAAGTACTGTAGTTACAAGACTTTTATTATGTATTATTCTAGTGCCATCTAGTGCGTATCTAAAGGATAGAGAGCTTAGTATGTGCTAACTTGCATCTTTGTATGCAGGATAAAGTCTTCCCCTGTATTAATAATGTCTCTTGTAATGATAGGTAGAATTTAATTTTGTTTTCTAAAATAGTTTGCTGCATCTTCAGGTTTGTTATATAGCCACAATTATTGTATCACTCAGAGAGGCCACTTTCCATAAATAAAGCTGATTTCTGTCAGCTGACTGATACTGAGAGCACTCTAAATATGATTACAAACCTAAGATAGGAAGCTGTTTCAAAAGAAGGCATGTTTTTTCAAAACCAGAGGTTTTAAATTCATTTTGGGGTGTGTGTGTTTATGCAAAAGTTCTAATTTGGGGGATTTTGTTTTAATTGAAGTCTTAATAATGATTAAGCTGTTTTGAAAGTCACCCTTCCCAAATCTGCAACAGTTAAGGCATAGAGACGTATTATTTTGTCTCGTTTTTTTTAGAGTTTTATAGTTTCAGAAACCATTTAGAAAGGGTAACAACCTGTCTGCTACCCTAGTGTCTATATCAAGGCAATACAATATTATGTATTCAAAAGAAAACCGAGATTTTATTTAAAAGGCTTGTTCTTGAGAGATACAGTATTATTATTCTGTTACAGTAGGTGGGGAAGGGAAGGATAAAAGGGACCTGTATCACTAAAATATTTTTAAATGTTGAGATAATACAGTATATGATGTATTAGTTATTGTATTGTGTTCAAAACATTTTGAATATGTTTAAAATTGTGCTTTCACAATAAATCTTAGAAAGAATTTTATTGTACTTATAGTGTGGCATTGGATCTGTTATTTTTCACATTTAAAAAAGGCAATGTTTTTTCAGCATATGGAAGAGAGGGTGTGAAGATGAACTTCATAGATAGGATCTTTGTTGGTGAATTGACTAGCACTGTCATGTGTGAGGAATGTGAAAATGTAGGTATTCTGGAATTTGGTTTGATGTGGAATAGATCACATACTGGTTTGATTACGTTGTCCTGAAAGTATAAAATTGTATTGCCAATTTTATACTTGTTTGTTTGTTTGTAAAAACAAGACTTTATTGAAAGTTTCTCATCTAAAATGATTTATTCCTTCTTTAAAGCATTATCCTCCCAAACCTAAGAAGAGGGGTCCTTTGAATTCAAAAAGGATTCAAGTACTGGGCTTGATTTTACATCTAACTTAAAAGCAGGAGGTTCCAAATTCTATAATCATCCGTGTTACACCGCAATTTTATTTAATGTTTTTAAAACACCTATTTATCTTAAAATGTAAATCCTCCTGCCTACTCTTCTGGGATATACCTGAAAATTGGGAATTACTTTGAATTAGTATGAGTGGGGAAATGCTAAAATTACTATTTTTGATAATTAACATAATAAGTCTAATGAACAGCATATTCCTTTCATAATTAATATTACTGACATTTAATCATAAATGCTTCCCATGATCCTTATAATTTTCTTTAACTTTGGAAGAGAAAAAATCTTATTTGCATGACTTTTCTAACTAAATGTTACATTTGTGTTTGGTTTAAAACGTTATATTTCATATTATAGAGATTAAGTAAATCAATCAGTCTGAATAATTAAGCACAGTCCTGCAGTGCCAGGTAAACTTCCCTCTGTGTGATGTGCAGATTACACTTCATTGCTACTAGTATCAATGAAGAACTTCGACTATATACAAAATAGAGCTTTTATGTTTTGTATGTCTCATTTGTTTTTGCTGGATTCTTACATTCTGCCTGCATAGGACTTAGGACTTTGCTAGCTGTAGCCCTTTGAGGAAGAGTTTAGCGTTCGCTTCGCCGGCATTGGCAAAGATATTTTTGACTAATGTTTGTTCATGCAAACTCACTCGTTAGAGGAACCTGTTTGAACATCACTCATCAGGCAGTCTGTCCTCATAGCTACAATAGGTTTGATCTCCTTTATTGCTTTACTGGAACCTAAACCATGCCGAGTCCCTTGCACAACAGGTAAAAATGAGCCTTCAGTCCATATCAAATGTTGCAGGTATTTTCTCTCACAAATATAAGAGAAAGGCAATGATGACAGTAATTGAGGGCATGACTGTGTTCAGTAACTTACATGTACAACATGCTTTTTATGGTTTTTTAAGGCTTTGTTTTTCACAGTCTTTTCAGAGGTAAGATAAGTCAGTTTTGGAAGGAATTTGAGAACAGCAAGGGAGAGAGCTTAAGGAACAGGCTTGGAAGGGATGTTCTAGCCATAAAGGCAGATGGGAAGTGCTGAGAGAGAATGTCTTTAGGTATGATTTGCCAGATATTTCCAGTTTCAGCTTAGATTTTGTATGGTTTATAGATGGCAAAATAAAGCTCCAGTAAAGAAAAGGTTGGGTTTTTTTCACCCCTTTTTTCCCCAGTAATTGGATTTATTTTAACAATTACTAGTGTATGTTATGGTATGAAAATTTCTAATAAAGCTTTTGGCTGTAACCAGTAAGCCTGACTTAACCTTTTCTGAGGGCATCAGGTTAGAAACCATCATCTAACTGTCATTAACCAATCCTTGCTGCTTAACAGTATACGAGGTCAAACGCCTGTGCAAAAGTGTCCAGGATCAGGAAACTCTAAAAGTTAGCTTTCTGCAGAATTGTACCATCTAGAAGGCCCACATGACTTGAAAATCTGCCTGGAGCTCAGAGAAGCTGAGCACCACACTGCTTCTAGGTCCAGTTTGTGCCCAGATGAATGGCCTTGCCCTTCATGTCTGTATGCTGAAATTTTGTGCAGTGTTAGAAAGAAAATCAGAGCTAACTCAAAATAAAAAAAAAAAGGAAAAATGTTTTTGGGAAGTTCTTCATTGTAGTTTGATACATCTTGTAACTAATCAGGTTTTTGTATAGTTTCCGATAATAATTTGATTTAAAACGGGAGCTATGTGCCAAACCCATATATTGTTCTTTGCATTTAATATGCATTTTCTCTTTTTCTTCAAGATTTCAACAGTAAAAGAACCTTTCATTGATCTTTCACTTCCTATAATAGAGGAGAGGGTAAGAAACAGAATATGTAATAAATAAGTATTGCTTCCAGTGGATTGTTTTTACATACCTTTATGAAGATGGTTATGTACATACACAGTTTTGATTTCAAGCCTAAAAATGTATGCTTGTCCATAAATGTGGACACACTGTCATACTGTGTGTTCATTATATGATTTTATGTATATATACACATACATACATACATATATAGACATACAATGTCCTAAGTACATACACTTTAAATTAGTCCAAACTTCGAACAAATGACCATTGTAATTTACAGCATATGTAGTCTGAGATTAGTTTAATTTAGTAGTATTTTTAGTATATACTGATATGAATAGAATGACTATAGACTTTTTTTGAAGGTCCAGAAAGTTAGATTCTAGCCTATTAGTTTGCATCTAGAGAACTGAATCCCTTTGGACTAAAGCGTACCTACGGGATGAGACTGTGTAAAAATGGATAGGCTTTGAATGTATTTATTCTGGTGGTTTTGGCATAAGTATTTCACAGAATGCCTCCATTAGCTGCAGAGGAACTGTGTTCCTTTGAAGGCATATATTCTGGTTTTGCGGGACTAGGGGGGGATGCGTTGGGAGTGGTTCTTCCCCCATCCTGCATATATTCATGTATGTTTAAGGCAAAGTATTTAATGTAAAATTTAATCCTGTATAAAATGTACTTGTCTCCAGACACCAGTTTTGTTCATAATAAATTCTTCATCTTTGTGCACAGTGTGCAGATGTCTGTGGGAATTAAAGCTGTAAGAACATTTTGAGTATCTGGGCCCCTGTGCTTCCTGGCTCACATGTGTAACATCGGAACTTCATGGGTTCTGTTTGAGAGAGCGATGTGGTGGCTTTTAGCATTCACTGCACTTACTTGAGGACGTGCATTACTTTATGGTCGTCTCTTCCCTTTATAGTCTAGATATGCTGCTGCTATTAATGTGATGGGGGATGTGCGGCAGCTCCTTCATCACGCCATAATGGTGGTAGGCTGCACCAGAGACTGACTTATGGGGACCTGTGTCCCCGTTGATAAATTCGCATCTCGTACAGCTATGCATGTGCTTATACAATACTAGAATAGATTATTTGGTATGTATTCTGTACAGGAATTTTGTATCGTTCCTTTTCTTGTGGCTCTCAGTTGATCTTTCAAAGATGTTGACAGTGAGTTTATGATAAACAAAATTAGAAAGTAGTCTTATACCACAACTCAGGGGCCAGTTAATTGGATTTATGTAGGTTACTATTTTCTAAAGTAAAGGAAAAAAACCCACTTACATTCATTTTTTCTGTAGGTTGCAAAGGAATACAAAATTGGCATATTTCCTTTCCTAATTTCCCATCTAATTTCTTAGGTTGCAAAACCTGTGCCTTTGGGAAGAACAGGTAAAGGTAAAAGTGTACAAGAGGCAGATCTTGGTCAATATAACTGTTCTTCTATCACTACACTGAATAATCAACCCAAAATTGTCAAGAAACACACTTTAACAAAAGATAAGGTAAGAACTTAAATACTCGCACTAACCGGTCATCTTGAGTTTATTCTGAAGTTTCTAGGGCTCTAGGGGTGGGAGTTTTGACACCTATCAGTGTGTGGGGGGTTGTATACATATAGCTGAGATAGACTTGTTTTAAAGTAGTTAGGTCATTATTAGAAGTGTGAGAAATGACAGTCATTGGGAACTATTTAGTTTTCAGTTACAAGATTTCATTTGTAAGGGAAAAAAAATAATCTGCAAGTTAGTTTCAATTCATGTTGCTTTTGGTTTTGTTGACTGCTTTTCTTTTGGTGTCCTCATAGTTTTTTTCTGGTTGCAATCACAAGAACTGTAATGCTGGCTAAGAGAGCAGGCAAGTCTGCGTTAGTGCCATCCAAGGGATTAGTTGGCAGTGGGTACAACAAAAATAGTACAGCCAGCAGAGACTCTTGGAGACCGAGAGCACGGTTTCCGTGATCTGCTTGGCCTTCATCAGCCCGAAGGTTGGGGAGCTCGGTTCAGCCCGTCTCTAGTGCAGCCTCCTAATACAGTTCTTTCTGATGGTAGCAAAAGGGTTCTGCAAATATGCCAGCCTAACAGAATTGATTATTTGTATGTATTAGCGTTTACAGATTAAAAGAAATCTGTAATAATTACTGTGCACATATATTATTGTTAGTGAAACATGACAAAGGCTCTCATTCTCATTATTGTCATATAATGTCATTAGATGTCATATACTATCACTATTAACATTCTTTTTTTTAATAAGTCTTATCATCCATATAGGGTTATGTGGCCAATTAGAATCTTAATAATAGTGTTAATACTGATACATAAAACATGATTACTGAAATGTTTTCAAAATTAAGAAAATAAAATATAGTATGGATTCAATAAACTAGACTAAACACACTAATAAAAAGGAAGCAATAACTCTGCTTTTGGTAAGAATGGAGAAAGTGACCTATTAAATATGTCTGTCTAACTGGTGAGGCTTTGTGATTCTCCACTCCCCCTCCATCTTTTCAGACATGTATTTATCATTACTTTAGACTTTTTTTGAATGATCTTCAGTGTAATATATCTGTTCTGCAGTAAAACTTCTAATGCAAAACAAACAGTTGTTGAAGGCAATCAGAGTTTGTTGATGTTCTGTAACTTCAGTTCATCAGTTTGTAAGTTTGCTTGTGAAAATGGGGATGTCCCATGGGTGGTTTTGTAGGCAACAGAGTACCTGAACACTGGTTGTTAGGCTTTTCTCCTGAAATGGGGAGCTTCACAATTTTGAGAATTTTTTGACTGCTGTTTACATAATACCCCTGAACACTAGCAGTAATTTCAGACAAGTTCCTCTCCCTCTTCTCTATTTATAAAGCAAGCAAGCTTAACTGAGACAAGAAATGGTCCTAATGGAAACAGTTTTGGGGGTTTATAATGATTTTTATTGGGATTTTATTCTTTTTTTGCTAAACTGTTAATTTGCTTTTAAGTTTAAGGACTAGAATTATGAAGTCCGTACATTTAGTGTAGGTTTAAACCCTGTTTAAGAAAATATTCAGGAATATTTTTTGTCTTTCACATGGACTTCATTTAGACTTAAGTTCTTGCTTAAAGTTTAAAACTGAGTATGTGCTTGAGGATTCTTCATGAATTGAGTCTATGGTATATTAAGGGATAGACTGAACAAAGTTCAGTGCCTGCAAGTTAGGCAGTTACCTGTAGTGCCTAACATTTTGCTACCCATGACCTGGAGTGGGATCCAAAACAAAAACAGTCCAGAAACTCTCTCTACCAAATGAGAAGCTACCTAAAGATAGTCAGTAGGAAATATTAAACAGAAAGCCATGTCTAAAATTACACTTTCAGTGCAGCTTAGGCACATGACCAGGTGCGCAGAAGGGTATTTCCTCCGCTTAGGTTCCCTGTTATGGAAGCCATGTGTGGAAGTTAGTTTCTGTACTTTGTTCTGTGAAAGCACTGATGTGAGCTTAACTTGTGCTGTGTGTCACTTTGTTTGTGTGTTTAAAAAGTATTTTCTTACTAATGCCAGGAAGTGGAGGGTGCAAGTGCAGGGCTCCTGACAGGCAGGGGGAATTTCGAGCCTTATTTTAGGAATGTGCCTAGGCTACAGGTTATGAGGTCATGACAATTTTAGATTCTTTTACTTCATGTCTGAGTGAGCTCTACTGGAAAGCTCTGTGCCCTGTGGGGGACCATAAATACTCTCCTGAAACAGGTCCTAAAACACTAAATACATGTGAAGAAAAAAGGTAACAGAATAACCATATAAAAAACTGACAGGAGAAGAGAATGAGACGGAAGTAGCAAAAGGACATGTGGTAGAAACAAAGGAAAGAATGGAAAGAAGAACGTGCAGACAGGAGAAGAGGCCTAAAACTCGAAACTCTTGAGGTTAATGGGAGGATTCCCACTGTCATCACTGGAATTTTGATCCAACTCAGATAAAGGAAAAAGCAAAAGGGAAGGGAATTTGCTCATTTCTTTTGGAAAGAAGCCAAACGAAAGAAAAGAATCATGAACACTTATAAATCACTTAAAATTATGGCAGCTTTAAGTTGTGTTTGTTGTTTTTTTTTTTTTTTAAATCTATAGTAGTAGTTTTCTGTGGCAGCAAATTTGTGGGTTTTTTTTCTTGCAATCTTCATAAAATAGAAAAAATCAACTTCATATAATATACAAATTAGCAAACATACGATTAGGGATGCTTTATTTAATTCTAAGACAAATGCCTCCAAGGTGAGTTGAATTTTCTTCTGGAGCTGCTCATCAGCTAAGGCCTCTGATGGGAGGTTAGGGGACTAGCTTAAGCATGAGAACCTTTTAGAAGCTTAAGTTAGATTAAGTGAATGCCACTTCACATGCGCCATCCACAGCTGTCACAAAGTGAATGTAATTAGTTGTGAGAAGTATTGATCTCACAGTAAGTAAATGCTCTTGGCTGACTGGGGTGTAGGTTTCTAATCCTAAATTGGTTTAAAAAGATCTTGAGGAGATCAACTAGCTTAAACACGTGAGAGATGGAGAATATAAAATAATGGGTTTAATTTGCTTTGAATTTGTCATGTTTCAAAAGCTATGTTAGATCACAGATCTGTTTTCTTTTTCTCCCCTACATTACTGAAATAATAATGCCATAATTTACAGAATCAATTGAACCAGGAGAGACGGCTTGCCAGAAAAGCTTCCTCTAATGAAGAAGAAAAAAGTCCTGTTATCATGCAGGAAAAAACCAAAAAGCTTGAGCTTGAAGGTAGCTCTGGCGTCTTGTACTCCAAAGACACAACTGCTGACTCCGCTGTAAATGGAAGTCAGACGGATGGCAGTGAGAAGGAAGCCAGCCGCTCTGAAAGCAGCTTTGATGCAGACAGTGAAGCCTCAGAAAGCGAAAGTGCTTCTAAGCAAACAGCTTTCAGCCCGTCCAGCAACATGTCTGGTTTGCACGTCAACCACGTAAATGTTAAAATGCCGCATAACAAACCAAGTGACAGTAATGATGAGATGCTTTCCAGTGCCATATCCAAACTCAGCCTCTGTGGTACTATAAATGAAGATAAAAAATCGAGCCGTGGGGATCCAGCATTAGGTTTATCGAATAATTCCATGTTCTCAGTAGACAAAGCCCCGCTATCCCAAAACCCTCAAAATGCTTTCCAGACGCTTTCCCAGAGCTACATAACTAGCTCAAAGGAATGTTCTGTTCAGTCCTGCCTTTACCAATTCACCTCTGTAGAGCTCCTGATGGGGAACAACAAGCTTTTATGTGAGAGCTGCACAGAAGGGAAACAGAAGTATCAGAAGAAAACCAACTCCACAGGTAAAGTGCTTGTATCTGTCTGGACACTACAGAATTGCCCCTCAAAACCTGTGCACTCGCTGCTGTTTCATTGCTCCAGCATGGGCCTCCCCCTTGTGGCTACACAGAAAATGTCTCCTCAAGCACAACTTGCTTGTTACGACTTAAAACTTCATCCTGCGAAGGCAACAACACTAAATTTCATATTAGAACATAATCGTAGATGTAACTTAGAATTTATTTTGCATCTTTTCTTTATTTTATCCAAGATAAGTAATTTAAAGATGACTATAAACTGAATAGGTTCATTGTTCGATATTCATCTTTGCTGCTGTTTCTGTTCTTTACAATCTTAGAAGCTTTGAAATAAATGCTGTAATATTCAGCTCTAGCAACTTACATACTCAGGGAAGGAATGTAATTAAGTATGTAAGAGGGGAAAAAAAAGACACTTGTAATGAAGAGGGGAAAAAAAACTTACAAAGATTTGTAAGAATGGAGATGAGAGAGAACTACCTTCTTGTGACAATGTTCTCCTCGATGTTTGTATAGCCCAAGCAGACCATTAGGGTTCACTGAGTAAGAAAAACAATTTAAATATAATGAAAAATAAACTTTTAAAAAGGACTGGAGGATTTTTTTTGATTTATAGTAATTCAGAAGGTTAAAAAAATTAAGCTTTTCTGATTATTTGTAAATAAAATATAAAGGGAGGTCTTACAGTAACAAAAAATTGCCCGTTAGCTGTCCATTTATAGATATCTGGAGAGATACAAGTTAAGCATGTGTAAATTCAGAAAAATTAAATCTAAAAATAGTATTTTATAATCATTCATTTATCATTATTGGACTGAGAGTAAGTGCTATACAAATAATATTTTGGTGCCATGGGCATAGTGAAAAATGGAAAAGGAAGTCAGTTCACGACTAATTATTAATTTTTTTCCTTCTAAAACAAAAGATTTAAGAAGTCACCTACTTTTACGTTAAATGCTTCATTCTACTTCAAATGAAATATTTTCCTTTGGACATGTGTAAAACCAGTAAATTAATTAATTTTTGCAGCGAAAAAATTGCTGGTGGCATGTTCCCTTTTACTGTATAGCTAACCACTGAGCTACTTTTAGTAAGAGCCCTGGGTTCAATTCCCTTTACACCATGGGGGGGTTGGAGTCCCCATATCCCAATCCTGTGGGCTCAAGCCAGCAGGTTATGAGGCATCCTGAAGTAGACACCCCTCTTCAGACCTTTCTCTTAAATAAGCACAAAGTATGTAGTCATTCAGAAGGAACTGAAGAATGGAAAATTAATCTCTATCTTAGTGGTTAGGACATTAGCATAGATAAAGAGACCTGTGCCTTCCATTTCTTATTCCAGTGATCATCTATTTATTTCAGGTGAAATGGTTTTAACAGGAAAGTTGGGTACTACAGTAACAGACAACGTAGGTATCTCAGTGTGCAAGCTGACCTAGATAGTGTACATGCTTCCAACTTTTGATCTGATTTGCACAGGATGGGCTAAAATAATGCTCAGATTTGGCAGATTATGTTTATTAAAAACTAGAAAAATGAGAAAATATTTTTCTGTTACTCCACAAAATTTACTTTGCATTTTATATAACATGGACAAAATCATTGCAACATAGATCTATTCTGTCAGATGTTTAAAAAATACTTAAATTCTGTGTGACTGCCTTCACTTTACAAATTATTTTGATATTCATAAATACAGAAAAGAAAATGGAAGGTGTCTACACAAATGCTCGGAAACAGCTGCTGATTTCTTCAGTTCCTGCTATTCTTATTCTCCATCTGAAAAGATTCCACCAGGTAAAAAGCCAAAACCCTCTTGTATATTCCTCTGCCCCACTGGTGGACAGTTCTTTAAGTGTCGTGCATATCAATATTTGCTTTTTATATGGAGAACTGGTAGAACCACTATTTGCAACATGCTTATGTTTTTTTGACTGTCTAATACCTTCAGACTGCATTTAGCCATTCAGATGTATCCAGGGAAACCTCTTACATGTCCATCATGCTTATGTGTAGCAGGCACTGTATTGAAAACATAACAAAGAATGTTTAAATCAGTTACAAACTTACTCTTGGTTTAATAGTATAGGAATACACCTTAGCTTTAAAAAGCTTCCTAATAAAAATACTTATTTTACAGTCTTTTTTTTTTTCTTTTCCTTTGGAGGCTGGTTTGAGTCTACGGAAAGTAAATAGGCATGTGGATTTCCCACTGATTTTAGACTTAGCACCATTTTGTTCTGCATCTTGCAAGGTACACTTTCAAATCTTTATTTTTATTGTACTTCAACAGTTGTTGTCCTGAGCACAAGTTAAACTGGATTGATGATGATGATGATGATGTTTATTATTGCTTCCTTTCCTAGAGAAATTATAGAGTGAATGTTTTCAAATTGTATCCCGAGGTCAGAATTGTAACTAATTGAAATTCCATTCGTATCAAGAGTATCACGGATGTTAACTAGTATTAGTTAAGCTATGGTACCCTGATGGTGTTAGTATATCTAACAGCATTAAGGACAAGTATTGCTGCTTCCATGGTAACTAAATTCAATTAATAGACTATTGAGTATTTTTAATAGATTTGTTTCACCCTTGGAAATGCTGTAGATGTCTGTTTGCTTCTTTTAAAGTAATAGTGTTGACAGCTAGTTAAGATATCTGTAAAATTCATTGTGAAATAATTTATCTTTGTTTTCTGTGTTTCTGGGAATGCAGAATGTTACGGATGGTGCAAGAGTGCTATATAGTCTTTACGGAATAGTGGAGCACAGTGGGTCAATGAGAGGTGGTCATTATGCGGCGTATGTGAAAGTCAGGACACCCTCCAAGAAATTACTAGAGCATATTTCTACCACTAAAAATGTTCTGGGTATGTACAAACAGAGCCTCCTTTCTTTGTGAGTAAAACCAAAAGCAACCACTGGCTACAGCTCCTTATCCTTGAGGGGATTTATAGCAAATAATTGTTTTAGCTCAGAATATTCTGTTATTTTTAGGGCCACATAAATAAATTCTTTTTTTTTTCTGTTACACCCAGTACATGACCTACTTCTGTATTAACCCCACATAGATCTGAGTGAATAATGGAATTTTGGTTCAGTTATTAAACAGAGAATTGATGGAAAACTCTTCTCTCTTTCCTAGTCAAAATAATATGTCCAGATGAATAGTTGTGCCCAGTAAAGTGTAATTATTGGTATTTGAAAATGTTCTAGTACAAGAGCTGAATCCATGACAATTTAAATTAAATTTTCTGTCTATTTGAGCATTTGACCTACCTTAAGATGGAAATTTTTTAATGCTTAAAAATCTGGAATACTCTGGTTTAATGTGAACAGCAAGAAACTTTTTCATGGAGGATATGAGGTTTGCTGTAGGGTTTCTGCTGGTATTTTGAGAACAGCACACTAGTTCTTATTAATATATTTTGGGTCTGCAGAATGAAATAAGGTTCTAGGATAGAATCTGTTAGTGAATGATTTGTGGAGGCAAGAATGTTGAGCTGTCAGAGCAAGGTAAATATATTTCCTGTTTCCCTTCGTGGGGGGAATGAGAATCAAGCACTATCCTGTCTACCCTGTGTAGTATCACTCTGCATTTGAAGCTCATTTCCCTAAAGGACAATTTCTTATATTATTTTTGAAATGAAAGTCCCCCTCAGTCTTATGCTTCCCTTGCAATGATTATTAGAACAGATTAGATCTTTTTGTGTTCTTAATTTCACACTGGTCAACTTCTGAAATACGATTTTTTTCTATGTCAGAACTGGTTGTAACTTAATGTTATAACTCAGTAAACTGTACTTGAAATGTCTCAGGCTTTTTTGAAAAAATATTAAAAAAGCAACAGCAGCATACATTTGCAAGCATTGTCTTCCACCAATTTCTCTTACAGTACTCTTTGACACGGACTGCATCTAAGTCATGAGTTATTCTTGTGGGTTAGAAGCTTCTCTTGCTTTTTGAAATATCCACTGTATTTGTTTGATGATGATGCGAAAGACAAGAAACAACTTCTTTTGCTTTTGCATTTCAGGTTTAAAAGAAGCCATGGGAGCATCAGGAGGACAATGGGTGTATGTTAGTGATGCCCATGTTCAGATGGTTCCAGAATCAAGAGTACTAAATGCACAAGCATATCTACTTTTTTATGAAAGATTATTACTATAATTCTCAACAGTTTAATTTAAAAGATGGTAGTGGTTATTTAGTTTATCTTATTTAAAGCTGCAGTGGTAAGAGTACCTGTAAATATCGTGCCTTTATCTTGTAGAGAATTTATCGTATGTTGACTCTAAAGTTCAGTCAAGCTACTATAAATATCTGAATGGTTCTCTTAAAGCACGCACTTTGCCAAACATTTAAAATTCCTGGATTCATTAAAATCCAGTACTGTTAGAATGTAAGATGATGTCCTATCCTACTGAGGTCTGTGGAAAGTTTGTTCTTGATTTTAATAAAGATAAGCTTTCACCTATAGTTCTGCAACAGTTGAGAATAAAAACACTGATAGCGTCAAGTGCCTGGATTTGCTGGTGTACAGTAACAATATAAAGTATTTCAACTTTTTGTGATCTAGTCCAGATCCTTCCCGTCACTGGGTTGGATGTCAGCTGTTAAGATTTCTGCAGACAAGAACCTGTCAAATCGTGTTGCTTCCACATGTAGTAATTGGAAAGCACAGTGCTTCCAGAATGGAGTAACAACAGCTGTCTCTGGGTAATGCTGCAGTGCACCTTCCTGATAGAGCTGGGAATAGATTGGGAAAATACAGCTTCTACAAAGTGACAGTGAATCCTCAGACACCCAGTACCCTTTCAGCTGTCTCCAACTGGCACTGGTATAGCAATGTACTCCTGTTTTAACATAAATATATACATACTTGGTGTGCATATGTATATCCTCTGATATATATATATACACGTGTGTGTGTGTATATATGCACACCATAAATACATCAATATATATTGTCATTTTACCTACTAGGAAAGAGAATTGCAAATACTTCTGTATTTAGTAAATTGTCAACTTCATAATTATGACAATGTACAGCATATAAGCCTGTGTATGAATATGTATGGGGTTTAAGTGTAACTGGGAAATTCTGTTACTTTTGGTTCTAAACATGAATTTGTTTATCTGTTCCTGAATACTTTTCTCACAGGAGTAATAAACTATAAATTATTTTTGCACTGTGTGTGTGAGTTGGACAGTAAATGATGACTTTTGCCCTCTTTCACATGTCTGGGCTTCCCTTTGTCATCAGCGGAGGACAGCAGGTGTCCTAGTGGCAGAACTTGTTTCTGTATCCTGGTGGCAGAACTTGTTTCTGTATCCTGTTTGACTGCCCTGTTTTGAGTTGTTACTTCCTTTGGTAATTTCTCGTTTCCATCCCAGAGAGTAACAGATACATTTTAAGGTCAAAATCAGATAACTACTTTGAAGCTATGTGGTAATTAATTTATTTAATAAGCAGTTACTTAAATACAAATTACTTCTGTAACAGTTCTATCCTGTCCAACTTGCTCTTTGGTAGACAAAAGACTACGTTTATTTCTGCTTACTATTTTCATTTATGGAAATGTTTTTTGGTGAAAAAACATGCTGTCCCTATTACTATCTCCACCACGTGTTGTCATACCTACTTGCATGACTTTGCTATTCTCTAGTTCTGTTTCAGAGCTTCATCCCACCTGCATTCACTCTTTTGTATAAGAAAATAGCAAAACATGCCATAGTTGCCTTTGCTCAAAATGCTGAGGTATATTTTACGGCCACATTACTAGTATATACTTGTGCAGGCACTAAGGATTGTTAGGCCATAAAATTGATTGTCATAACCAAGTGACCTAAACAGAAAATTAGGCTATGCATTTTAGCCAACACAATCATTTTTTTCCTCCACAGATTAAAATTGTCTCAGTCTACCCAAAAGTAGTAAAACTCAGGGAAGCCAAGCAGTCAACTTTAACCATCTGTGTTCCAACTAAATACATTTTAACCTGAATCTACACTAGGAAAGAAAGAAAAAAAATAATGTTTAGACTAGAGTTGGTTAAAATATGTTAATTATCTTTTGCCTCCTTATTTTCCCATACCCTTCACCCACCTACACACACCTTCCCCCTCTTTATATATAGCTGATCAAAATTCAAAATTAGTTCTGGGCAAGAGTCACAGCAAATACCAACTAAGTTTCACTTCTGTGACACAATCTTGCTAGGAGACCACAGATGAAGTGTATTTCATCCACCTTAAAGCAGACAGACTGACCAGATGAGGCCTGAAGTTCCTAGTTTTGCCGACTTAAGTTCAGTAGTTTTACAGAAGTACCTATATTAATCTCCTACTTTTTAGCCTCGAACTGCCTCCCTAGAGTACAAAACTAGGAGAGAAACAGAACAAGGTTCTTAACTTGTTATTTCTTATTTTTAATGCTATTTTCAGGAATCTCTTGAGGTGGTCTTCGCTTCTCTTTAACCGGAGTTGACACACTGTTTGGACTGCTGAAATCTTCCCAAGGGGACATACTGACTAGGATGCCATGAAAGATGCTGGCAGGGTTATTTCCTCATTAACAGCCAGGGGACATTTCCTTGCTATTAAGGTATTCTATAGAACATGGAGAGAAAACTGCATGGAAAAAAGCCAACACCTTTATCCGAGATAGCCACCACTGTTGCTCCTGGATGAGGCTTCCTGAGTTGAAATGAAAAGCAGTGTTAGCAGCAACTCCAGTAAGTTCAGAGTCAGGAACAGGTATGAAAATATTATAGAGGAAACACTCTCTAAAAATGAGGGCAACAGGTGAAGTTACAGCTTTAGAATGAAGAAATGATGACTACCGCGACGTCATACAAAATTTTAGATGCAAGTCACACTTAATGTGTCCTTTAAGACATAGGGGTTTTTTTTTTTTGTGGCAAAATTTGGCTCCAAAGCAAGTGATTGTACATAAATACGCATACTGAAGACTTGTTATAGTTCCTTATCAGGAATTGCAAGAGAAGGTCAGAGCGTTCCAGGAAAACAGGGGTGTACATCCTATATTTGCTAAAACGTTGAACATGATTCTAGAGGCTATTTGCGAAGTCTAGGAACTCGTTGTTTCCTGCAACTGCCAGATGCGTGCACACTACTGAAAAGCTACGTGTTTTCAGAATTTAACTGAAGGGCTCTAAAGTTTAAGACTCTCCTTAAAATATCTTCTGTTACCAGACCAAAAATCTTTTCAGGCCTGCAGCATCTACTCTTCATAGAGATACACCATACCTTTGTGGTCCCCCCCCACCCCAAGAAAGTGCAGTAGTCTGCTTCTTCATGTGGAATACCTTAGAAATGGCTTTCTCTTCGTCCCACTCTTCTCTTCTCACAAGGGCACCACTGTTTCCTTCATCAGCCTCATCTGTTCTTTATGTTTTCGGGGCCTCCATAAGCCTGTGTGTCAATGTCTTTTCTTTCATCGATCCTTAACCATAACATAATGTTTCCCAGTCCCATCACTTGCTGAGTGACTCCTGAGCAGCACTCTGCTGACCAGTCACAAGACAGTGCCTTTAAAACAATGAGAAAGAAAGCAAAGTAAATATTTCCTCACTCTTCAGTAAGTAAACCTAATTTATGAGAAGTACTTGATTTGCATATGGACAACTGGAACCCCTTACAAAAGTTTCCCCAGAGCAGAGGCATCAACAAAGACGGCTCTATCAGCTAAGGAGTTAGTCCAGATTATAGTCTTTCTCCTCAGAAAGAACTTTGTTATCTTTCAATTTATATACCATTTATGCTATATATGGCAAAAAGTGATGGGGATATTTATTATACTAACCTATCTACACCAATGCATGTAGAGACATCATGCTTGTATAAGTCTGTTCTCCTAAGAGAGTGCTACAAATACTTAGTGGTGAAGGAAAAACAAACCAACCAACCAACCCTAAACTTCTCTGCCCAAAATGTACACACTGTAATCGTCTTTGTTTAGAAAATGAAATCCATGCAGCCTGCCAAACCTTCGTCCCCTATTCCCATCTGTGTGTATCAATGAAGTGCTCCTGCTTATGGATTTCAAGTGGTAGCAGGTGAGAGTGGTTTATAAATTCAGTAAAAGGCTGACATGTCTTAACTTCACCATTTGCTTCTCTTTGGACTTCTTTTTTATACGAACACAAACTGAATCATAAAGGGACATGAAATTAATGCATCTATGTTCTCAATCCATTACAAAAATCTTATTTGAACATACTAGTAACAAACCAAGATTTGGAAAGGAATAATTTCTTGAGGAGAAACTTTAAGATGTATTAAAATGGGAACAAAGAAAGCATTTGAATACAACTCTTATGTTAGCAAAAATTAGCAAATCCAATTTTAATTAAAAAGTGGTAGCATACTTCACAAAACAACTTCACAGCAGCCTGATTGAACAAAAATTTGATATTCCTCAGTTTTCACCAGCTGGAAACTTTTTTGTTGTGCCCTGTACACGTTTATGCGTTTGTACAAAGATTTATTTTTTTCTAATTTTCAGTAAAACCCCTTTCAGTCTAATTATTTTAGAATGGATTACTTTTGCTTCTGTAGCTATTTACTGTGTCTTAGGATGTCATTTTGCCAGCTCTTTCAGCTGTTTGTACCTCTCCCATCGGTGTGTTCAAATAAACTGCAGAAACAGTGGGAAAGTGATTATTCAAAATTATTCAAAATCTATTTTTTGTAAACCGAGATTATAAAATATATTTTCAGACAGAAGTCTGTTAGTGCAAGTCAAAACACTTCCTTTGCACAACATTATATAAAAAGTCTAAGGGAATTTATTTGTTACAATAAAACAATTGCAATGCACTGTAACTACTTTTAAGACGACTTGGTATACATTCAATTTATATAAAATTATAAATACTTCTGTCTTCATTGATATTAGTAGAAAAACTATTTTTTAAGTGTCAAGAATGTTTCTTACGTCTATTGCAGCTTCCAATATTTTTCCAGTACAAAATATAAAGGTGCAGTACTGCTTTTAAAAGAAAACAGAAAAGCATTTATTTTGAGTAGGTTTATGACTTCTTAACACTCACCTCATTGCTTTGCTAGGTTAGTTTTTTGTTTTTGAGCTGTGTAGCTTGGGGATCATTACAGTGAACTCTGTAATGAAACCACCATGTCAATGGCAGCCATTCCCTCTTTAGCCATTTCACAAAGTTGAGTTCTGATTCTACTGTCATTTATGCACGGGGATAATCCCCAAGATGTTCATATGTGCTTGCACTTACACAAAAGACAATCCAAGTAATCAAAAAAACCCGTTGCTAAGTCCAAAATACTTGTGAGCAATAAATCAAGCATGTTAAGTGTTTCATCTTGTTTTCATTCATTTACTTTTTTCATCTGTTTGAACTAATAGTCTAACTCTACTCTGCAGGTATTTAAATAACAAATAATATTTTCAGAATTTTACTACAGTACTTATACATTGTACACTTTATTTGTAGACTTCTAATTCCAAATATTACTAAGTAAACAGGGCATTAAACACAGACCGTATTTAAAAAAACAAACACAAGTCTGATCAGTTTTCCAATCTATCCTAGGTGCTTTAACGAGTTTCTCAGAATAAAACTGCTGTTTGTCTTCTCTTCATTTTGTGTTTCCATCTATGTTACATATTATTTGACAAATGTATAAATAAGGCATCCAAGCATTTGGAAAACTGTATTGTTTAAATATAAGCTTTACGTTGTACAATTGACTTCACAAAGCTTCCATTTTTTTCCCAACTAAAGAGAGAATATTTTTTCCTTTCATCTTGCGTCATGACCCGCCTAGTGGATGAGGGAAAGG